TATTATTTGCTGTTTTCCAAAAATTAGTTATGTCTTCATATTTCTGGCTTTTGCGATGTTTCATCGCGGTGAATAAACTGTATCACTAGGTTTGACTTTCGGATTAGAGCCATGTTCTTTTTGGTTTAGAATCGTACGTTTCGTGAACATTTCAGTTCATTTCATTAGTGTGACGAACAACTTAATAAATTGAAATATTCACAGAATGTCGGATACAAAATCAAGTACAACGTGGCTCCAATCCGAAGCCAAATCTAGTAGTTAGTTATATGTTTACTTCGACAATTATTTTCGTTACTTTTTAACAACATTGTTCAAAAAAGTAATGAAATGCTTTTATCTCGCCAACAAATGTCAATTTTTTTATTGTTTTAATGTGTGTAAAACAATTTGAGTAATTTTAAAACAGCATTTTAAAGAACAAAGCTTATCTTTTGAAGCGCTTTTTCAAATGGTTAGAATCTTTCTTTCCCATGAAACTGTGTACCTTAGGAAATAAGGGATTCTCTTTTCAAATAATCATTTTTAACGCATTTTTACTTGACGAATTTCTTTCGCGATACGCATTGCAACTATAGGGAAAGTTGAAGTTTTTTTTTCAAAGACTTCATTTACAGTTTTAATTGTTTTATCTAAAAGTTTCAAAATTTGTAACTATGCTTTTCATTTCTTATTAGTATGAATATCATCGAAGTTTACATTAATGAAATAATTAACGCCATGTTTTCATTTTACACTTTATATTAATACTTTTAAATGATGATACTGTATTATTACTTTTTGACATTTTACGTTCATGCGTCTTATAAAGATTTGCTTGTTTTCATTAAAATTATTATACGTTTATTTTTCGATGCAAATACGAAGTAAAAATGTAAAAATATTTATGAGAAATAAGACAATGTAAGAGTAATCTTTTGAACAATGTTTGTTATATTAAGAAATACAAACAAATACATAATTTACATTTATATAATATGCATTTTTGATATCGGTAGAGATTACATGATTATTATGTGCAATGTCGATAATTTTGCAACCTTACCTATCGGAAACGCATTCGCGTTTCTCGCGATGCGATTTTGTTTATCCTAGCCTCTTGCCGTCTTGCAAATCGCCGTGTCACAGAAGTACAGAGATATCTCGGTATTCCTAGCGATGTTCAAGGTGAAAGAAGCAGATATTTTATTCTCTTTTTGCATTCTTTTCGCAAGCATTCATCATTACTTGTCTACGCACACATACACGTAAATAGAGAGGGTTTGGAGTCGGTAAATACTGTGGGAGTGACGAACCACGGGGTCTTGATCTCTATTTGCAACACACACTACACACATACATTTCTTTTTACTTCCTTCATTTTTATTTTTTCTTTATTCATTTCTGTCGCTTTTCGTTTTTGTTGCTTTGTTTCCGATATGGAAACGTGTGATGCATTGCCCAAAAAAACTAAGCGAAGTTTTGTAGAAGCTTGGCTCAGAGATGAGCGTTATAAAGATTGGATACGTAAAGTATCATCTGATGAAAGTCTTTATTTTTGTACTGTTTGCAATAAAAGTTTTTCCTGCGATGCAGCATATGTTAGCAGACATGCAGGTTCTGCGTGCCACCGAGAGAATTTAAAAGAAAATGTGTCATTATCTAATGACAATAACGTAGCTGTACAACATACAACACCGAAAACGTCAGTGTTTCAAATCGAATGGTTAGATATTGATGATTTTAAGTTATGGTTACGTGAGGTTCCGCATGATAACAAAATATGTTTTTGTGCAATTTGCGATAAATATTTTGCTGCTCATTTATCGCACATTCGTCGGCACGCAGAATCTGAAAGTCATTTAAACTTACATAAAAGAAAAGATATCGAAGCGAGCAAATCAAATGATGATTATAATACGCAAGCTAAGGAATCTCCTTTGTCGTTAGATGCGTGTACAAAATCAGCGGAAATACAATTAGCCGCTTTTATTGCACAGAAAAATATTCCTCATCAGACGGCAAAAGAACTTCTTCAGTTTTTTCAACACATAGGACAAGATCCTGAAGTATTGCAAAAGATGAGGATGGGTCGAATTAAATGTAAAAACATAATTTCTAACGTTTTATATCCGGTTGAGAATGAACATGTTGTTCACAATCTTCAGAGAACACGATTCTCCGTTTTTGTCGATGAGACATCTGATATTTGCAACGAAAAATGGATGACATTTTTCGTTAGGTATATTGATCCTGAGACATTAGATGTTCGCTCACAATTAGTGAAATTGATCAATATTGACGCGAAAGATTTGAGTGCTGAAAAATTATTTAATGCATTTAAGAATGAAATGTGTAAGTTACAAATTCCCTTCTTAAATATTGTTGCTCTGTCATGCGACAATGCGTCGGTAATGACAGGAAAACATTTATCGTTTAAAACGAAAGTACAACAGATGTGCAAACATCTATTAACATTTCCTTGCCCATGCCACTCAGCCGCGTTAGCTGCGCACGCTGCATGTGCGAAAATACCTTCATTTTGCGATGAATTTATTAAAAAAATAGCTTCTTACATTAATAGTAGCCCGAAACGTACGGCAATTTTTCACGAGTTTTGCGATTGTTTTCAAGACAAATATCGCAAAATTTTAAAATTGAGTGAAACGCGCTGGCTGTCTCGCCACGCATGTGTCGAGAGACTTTTGGTATCATGGGATACGATCCATTATTTTTTACAGGAAATGGTTGTGAGCGAGAAGTCTGGAGAACTTTTGTCTATGATGGATAATTTAGAAACGAAGGCTTATCTTTTATTTCTTAAATATATATTAAATTTCTTTAATGCATTCAATGCATTTTTCCAATCGGAACAAACGAGAATACATTTATTGGGGTTAAAATCTGCAAACTTTCTCTCCCAAGTCTGCGAAAACTTCGTTAAAAACGAATTTCTAAAAGATGTAACCACAAATATTAATTTTTCACAGAAAGAAATTCAGAAAGACATAAATGAAATTTTTCTTGGAACAGATTGTGAAGAGTATCTTAATAATCTAATGATAGAAGGTCATATAGATACAGTTACAATCGTGCGACAAAATTGTTTACAATTTTACCTTACTGCCGCGGAGGAAATACGTAAAAGATTGCCTATTACAAATGATTTTTTGACAAAATTACAAGTTTTTGAACCATCTACAGCTTTACTCTGTAGTAATAGGGAATCTTCATTCCAGCATGTTTCTTCCGTTGCCATTTCTCTCGGTGTGTTCGAGATCGGACAGTCCACACGCAATGCATCGATTAATTCTATCAAGCGATCGATAACTTCAGGTGTACAGCGCGGGCTTCTGGAAGATTCGAGAGAGACGCTCAGACCGGCGAATTGTCGCCGCGTTTGTTGTTATCTTCGCCTCGAGGACACCGAGAAAGCCCGGGCTGTACACCTTTTCAAAACAATTAGCTCCGAAATGTTGTGACATGCTCGCGTCTTCGCAACGACGGCGAGCTCGGGTCAACGCTTCTTCGCCAGCAAATAACGAACGCTACCGCCAATCGCGTCGACCGCAGCGCAAACGCACCTGTCGCGCACGCGCCAAAGCGCGCGAGGACTCTCGATTGCCAATCACTCTTGATAATCGAGGGTCACCTTAAAACTTTAAACCGGTTGAGGGTTGATTGGTGCCCCACCGACTGGGGGGCAAAATTTGGGCGCAAATAAATGAACCGGCCGCATTCCGCCACGGCCAGAGCCACTAGAGTCGCGTGTTTCTCCGCTTCGTCGAATTTAGCTTGCGCCTTACCGAACGTTTCTTTGTGTACCGACCCGCAATAATTCTGGACTACTCTCTTGTATAACGAAATAAAATTAGTTTTGGCTTGTTCTTTATTAAGTCTTGAGTGCTGCATTTTCTACAGTTTTGTCCGCTCCTCTTTGTCCGCGTCCGCGTTGTCAACCGCGCTTCCGAACACGGTGGTTTCGATGAAGACTTCTTAAGAGAAGAGTGGTTTGCATTACCAGCAGATTTTACTGTTGAAGAAAAAGAGAATTTGTCAAGATTAAATTTTGATGAGATGTGGAAAGAAATCTTACAACGCCGCTCGTTGAATAATACTTACAAGTATCTCAATTTGAGGAATCCTCTGAGCGCTGTTCGATGTCTTCCCAATTCAAATGCAGATCCAGAGAGAACGTTTTCAGTTTTAACTGATTTAAAAACCAAAAAACGCAATTCACTTTCTTCAACCACTGTTAATGCCACTTGCGTAATAAAATCAGCATTGAAGACGAGGGGCGAAACAGCTGTAAACATGGCAGTAACTGAACAGCATTTGTCTCGTATGTCACCTGGCAAATTATATATAGCTGACTCTAAACGAGAAAAAAGTTATCTAACTTTATGTGGTGCTGACGAAATAGCTAGTTCGTCATCTACAACATAATAATGTCCAAAAGAGAAATGGGCGGAAAATGTTAGCACATCCAAATAATCCAAGCAAATAAACCGATTATTTTATTTCAACCTGGAATAAATATCGTTAATTTTTCTTTTGGACGTTATTATTTTTATTTTTGAACATTTTTATTAATGCTTTTTAATGTATCGCTTTCAACTTATTATGTTTTCATTTTTAAAAATACACATACACATACACAGATAGAGAGGGTTTGGAGTCGGTAAATACTGTGGAAGTGACGAACTACGGGGTCCTGATTGTATCGTATCGAAATAAAAGGAATGAAATTGATAGAATTATTTTGTCTTAAATAAAGTGGACTGTATTTCTTGACTGCTGTATGTACACCAGTTTCGTCTTCGAGTGTTCTAGCTCAACTAACGCCTTCCCTCGAATTCGATGAGCGGTTACTCTCGTCACCCGGTTTCCTGTTGATACTCGGTAACCTTCCGTATGCTTCCATATACATCGTTCGCACGCTTTCCTATGATGCTTACATCTACAGATCGTTCGCATTTATACATATACATACCGCCCACCAATTAATGAAGATTAATTTTTTATGGTATTGAATCGCTTGTCGGTAGTTTGCACAGCCTATTTATTGCTCGCTTGAGATATCCGGTTGCGGTTTTCAGAGTTACAACTCGAACCTTGTCGTCGATACCTTTATGGGTTTCGATTACCCTTCCTATTTTCCATTTCAACGGTGGCAAATTGGGCTCTTGTATCAGAACAATGTCATTAATCGCGATATTCGGTTTTTCTGTTTTCCATTTAGTTTTGCCCTGCAGCGAAGTTAAATATTCCGCACTCCAACGGCGCCAAAAATCTTGCAATAATTTTTGAGATAATTGCCAACGATCTAATCTGTTTATCGGTACGTCGTTTAGATCTACTTCCGGAATGGCTGTTAATGATTCACCGACAAGAAAATGACCCGGAGTCAATGGTTGTAAGTCTGTGGGAGTGGACGGTAGCTGACATATAGGCCTTGAATTTAAACAAGCCTCAATTTGTATTAATACGGTAGCTAATTCTTCGAAAGTTAAAAGTGCAGAACCCATGATGCGTTTTAGGTGAAATTTACAAGATTTCACTCCTGCCTCCCACAGACCTCCCATATGAGGTGACGAGGGTGGAATGAACTTCCACTCAATTCCGCTTGGAATGCAGAATTCGTTGCTTATTGTTTCAGTCTCCCTGGTAATGAATTGTTGAACTTCGTTTAACTCATTTCGCGCTCCTACAAAATTAGTCGCGTTATCACAATATATCCGCTGTGGACAACCTCGTCGTCCTGCAAATCTTCTAAGTGCCGCTATAAACGCATTCGAACTAAGATCGCTCACTGCCTCAAGGTGTATCGCCTTCGTTGAGAAACAAATAAATAATGAGATGTATGACTTGTTTGTCTTTCGGCCACGACCTCGGTTGACTAACGTTACAATGGGTCCGGCGAAATCTATTCCTGTTACATAAAATGGACGTCTAGGAATTACCCGATCTGCTGGTAATTGTCCCATTACCTGTGATAGTGGTTTCGGATTATTTCTGAAGCAAGTCATACACTCATGTACAACTTTCCTCGCTAGATTCTTTCCTCGGAGAGGCCAATACTTTTCGCGAATTGCATATAACAATGTTTGCGGTCCTGCATGTAATAGCCTACGATGCTCTCGCTTGAATAATAATTTTGTAAAAGTGCTCTCGGCTGGTAGTATAATCGGATGTTTTGTGTCGAATGCGGTCAACGAATTACGAATTCGACCGCCCACCCTGAGGAGTCCTGTTTCATCAATAAACGGACTAAGTAGCGACAATTTGCTTGTCAATCTGATTTGCCTTTTTGCCTTGAGGTCTGACACCTCGGTCACGAAATGGAGCCTTTGGATCTCGATAATTATTAATAAATTTACCTTGTGAATTTCCTGCAGTGATAGATTTCCCACATTCCGGGTTTCCCTTTTGGTTTTACAATTCCATATAAATCTAAAAATCCACGCTAAAATACGCTCGAGTTTCGTTAAACAAGAATGGTTATTTAATAATTGTAAAATTAATTGCTTTGAGTCAACTATTAAAAAGACTTGGATTTCCTTCTTTTGCTCTGATTCAATAAATTCTGTTTCCGTTTGTGAACAAGTTAGCAATCGATTTGATCCCCTTATATTCTCAAAAAATTCTGACAAAATTTTAGGACCTTCCCACCAAAGACTTGACTCCTTTAATTCTCGTAAACTTGTACCTCGTGAAATCAGATCGGCAGGATTGTGCTCACTCTTGACATGATACCAATTACTTGACGCGACAATCGTTTGAATCTCAGCGACTCGATTCGCAACAAAAGTTTTCTGGCGAGACGGATCGCCCGCTATCCATGCCAACACAATCATTGAATCGCTCCATGCATACATTCCACTGACTTCAATTTTAAGCGCCTCGCATACATGTTTCAACAATCGTACTAAAACAACCGCGCCGCAAAGCTCAAGTCTCGGCAGGGTCGTTGTCTTGCTTTTGATCGGTGCGACTCGAGATTTCGAGCAAATTAATATCGATCTACCCTTGTTATGGTTGTCCATCGTTTGCAAGTATACGCACGCACCGTACGCTTTCATTGAGGCGTCGCAAAACCCCTGTAAATAGAATCGCCTCGCACTCGCACTCGCAATGATTCTACGAGGAACTTGGATCGTATTAATATCATTTAAATCATCAGTATATTCAATCCATGCCCTATAAAGCTTGTCGGTTAGTAAATCGTCCCATTTCAAATTTGCGGCCCAAGTTCCTTGCATAATTAATTTTGCTCTAATTAGTATAGGGCTTATCAATCCCAATGGATCGAACAACCGCGATATTGCAGATAGAACCTCTCTTTTCGTTTTACTCGACCTTGTTATGGAATTGACAGAAAACTCAAACACGTCTCGCTCGGGCTGCCAAGTCAAACCCAATGTTTTTATATTTGTCTCATTTACATCGCTCGCGACAGTCAACGATTCTTCGATCTGTTCACTAGAGTGCAATTCATGTAAAATTTCTTTATAATTTGATCGCCACTTATGTGGTTCAAATCCTCCATCATTTAACAGTTCCTTTAATTGCTTAATCAAATCGGTTGCCTCGTCAACTGAACTAACACCGGTTAATATATCATCCACGTATAAATCATTGAGTAAGACTTGAGACGCTTGCATCAATCGATCGTCCGCGTTACTTGCCAAATGTCTCACGCAACGCACGGCCAAAAACGGAGCACACGATAATCCGTATGTCACGGTGTTTAACCGAAATTCTCGTATAGGTTCGCCCACCGACGACCGCCACAGAATCCTTTGATAATCTCTATCGGCTTCGTGGACCAAAATTTGTCTATACATTTTTTTCAAATCGGCTGTGATTGCAATGGCATGCAATCTAAATCGTAACATGATATCAATTAAATTATCTTGTAATCGCGCTCCGATCATTAAAGTATCGTTTAGTGAGATTCCCGCCGTAGTTCTGACCGACCCATCGAACACTACGCGTAACTTCGTTGTGAGACTAGATTCGTGCAATACGCCGTGATGCGGTAGATAAGTAGGATTCATTATGGTAGATTCGCTGTTCACGATCGACATATGATTTAATTTGATGTACTCTCGCATAAAACTCGAATATTGATTATAAAATTCTTGATTAGTTTTGAATTTTCATTCTAAGTAACTCAGTCTTCGTAAAGCTATCTCTCTCGAATCGCCTAACTGCTTCTTATTGTCACGGAAAGGTAGTCTGACAACAAACCGTCCCAACA